CAAACTTCACTTTACTAATACAATTTTTCTTATAAAACCCTGATTGGCATTAATGTCCCAGGGCATATATCTAGATATACATGCACATCACAGTGATTATATACATGTACATAATTTTTCTAGAATGTACATGTGCATTCAAGTTCACTCTTAAAAAACTTTATACTTTTCAATCAATTAGTCTTTGCACAAAATTTCACTTTAGAAATCTTTAAATTTTTAAGTTCAGAAAACCGAATTCAAATCTTCAAAGTAATTATCAAGTAAATTGTAGGAATGTTTTCCATCTTGTTTACTATTTCCAACACAACAATATTTTACCTGTAGACATCAGTGTGTATGAATTCTTCAAGAAGTAAACATTTGCTGATTGCTTGGTTCTTAAGTAGATTATTTCAGTTAGTTGTTCAATCTTGACACAGTCACACAAACTTTATGAGAAGCACAGATCAATGAGGGAAGCAGAGTTCTAAGAGATAATGTCTGTGAATTTTGTCATTGATGTATATAAATTATATATACATTACTTAATTACTGGTTAAGTTAAGCATTAATTTGATGTGCCATTAAGAAAGATTTTCTTTCTGTTTCCAGCAGAAAAATACACATGATGCCAAATGTTGTTTCTGAATATTGTATGAATGTCCTCATATATGTGAAATAAACCTTACTTTATATTTAATTATATCAAAGAACATATGTGATTTTATACATATATTGTTTGTATTAAAACAAACAGGGTGTGTGTATGTGTGTTTGTGTTTGATCAGATTTATGTATTTAATTCTTCATTAACACATTTTATACAATAAACTGAAAACAAGTGATTCCTGTATCGTGATCATTTCTTGCATTATACTTTTTAACAGAATGAAAGATGAATAATGAGCATTGTTGAAGAAAAGTTGTGGACACTTTAGTATAAGATATATTTTTGACTAAATGGAGAAAAGTTCCACCAAGTGCTTTTCAGAATTTCCATAGGTACAAATTGCACCCCATTATTAGCAGATCTATTTAAGCAGTATTCATTCAAAACTTTGTTCATCAAAATCATGCAATAGGTATGTCTCCTCTGTAACAGTAGGGAGAAAAAGGATGCATTTCTATTATGTCTCCAAAAGAACCTCACTCAAATACCAAACATCTCTGTCCCTGGGGTTATGGCTTTCAAACGTTTTGAAATAACATTCTACTCATCATAACCATTCAATTAGTTTTTCTGTACAATACCCAAGGGCAGAAGGAAAGATTTTTTAAAAATGCCTTTTCACATTATATTCAATAGACCCCCCATGATTTCCTGACCCTGGGGCCACAATTTTCACAGTTTTGTAAGACACACACTTGATCATTATATTCTTGCAGTTGCACTTAGTTTTCTGCTAAATACACTGGGACAGAGAAGATTTTCAAATTAATAATGCGATTTCCGCCCTAACACCAGAACCCTCGACCCAGAGGCCAATATGATTTTAACTATATAATCAATAGAGCCCTAACACCAAAACGTCTGATCTAAGTGCTAAGATATTTACAGTTTTGGACGAGGCACCCTTGCTCAACATAACTACATACTTGGTTTATCTGCTAAATACCTAGAAGCAGAGAAGAGGGTTTTTCAAAAGAAACAATGCACTTTTACTATAAAATTATGAAACAACCCTGCTTACTGAGTATTTTATGCCAACAGATGACTGTTTGATGTCCAGGAGATTAGGTCAATTTGATGGTTTTGGTCCTACTTCTAAGCCCCAGGGGGCAGGGATCATGAAATTCACAATTGATTCCCCTTTACTCATGGATCATCATCGGAAACCCACGGGTGAACTCGTCTGTGATAAGTAAAGATGAGATCACCCGTGGGTTTCCAACGATGCTCATGGATTGTCTGTGCAAAATTGGTTGAAATTTCTTCAGTTGTTGCAGGAAATAATTTGAAATTTCTTCAAAATCATAGGTCAGTTTTAAATATTTTTAATATTCCAAGGAGTCAAAATGAATTTGAACTACCCTACATATATTGGACTCACTAAGATATTGACAGTAGTGAAGGAAAAACTTCAAGAGTACTGTGCAACAATATATTCAAGAAGTGGAGTGAATCAGAAAATTCATCAAAAATTCATAGGAACATTTGGAAAATTTGAAATCACAAGATTTTACCAAACTCAACAGCTTAAAAACTTATGAATTTTCAACTTTATACACAACTATTTCCAACGATAAATTAAAGTCCAGGCTTTTTGACATCATTGACATCTGCTTTTTCAATAAAAATGGAACTCGTAAGTTTACTTACCTGGTCATTGGTTATTTGCAAAATTATTTTGCAAAGACACATTCTGATTGCATACACAAAGATCTGAAGTTGACATCATAAAGATGCTTGAGTTTCTTGAGTTTCTGATTAACAATATCTATGTGGCTTTTGGAGACCAGGTCTTCCAACAATCTATTGGAATTCCCATGGGTACCAATTGCGCTCCGTTATTTGCAGACCTATTTTTATATTCATATGAAACAGAATTTGTGCATAATATGCGTATGCGTGAAAAGAAGAAAATACTTGCTGTGGCCTTCAACTCGACATTTAGATACTAGTATATCGACGACGTATTGTCAATTAACAATGATAATTTCCATTCCTACGTCGATACGATGTATCCTGGTGAGCTTGAGATAAAAGATACCACAGAGTCTGACACATCTGTTTCATGCTTGAATATTTTACTTGAAAAAGACGTTAATAGTACATGTAATCTAACAATCAAGCTATATGATAAACGTTATGACTTTAACTTTTCTATTGTCAACTTCCCTTACTTATGCAGCAATATACCTTCATCACCTGCATACGGAGTGTATATATCTCAGTTGATTCGATACGCAAGAGCATGCTCTACGTATGAACAATTTCTAGAACGAGGTAAATTATTGACAAACAAGTTTGATGAACAAGAATATCAGCAGTCTCGTTTGAAGTTATCATATAGTAGGTTCCATGGTCGATACAATGACCTTGTCAGCAAATACAATTTTTCATTGAGTCAAATACTGACTGACGTTTTGCATACTAATTGTTAGTCCATTATTTATACACTGAATTGACGACGGATTTTTCCGTTATTTCCCGATTACGACAAGGAGCACACGGCGGGTGTGACCGGTCAGTAGGGGATGCGCACTCCCCCATGCCACCTGATCCCACCTCTGATGGTACGGAGGTCCGTGTTTGCTCTGCTCCTATTTTGTATTGTTTTATGGACTTTGATATTAAATACTGTTCGTTATCTCAATATCCTTCCATTGTATGAAATGTGAAAGCATGTCCATTGAATCGTCAGAGGTGGGACCAGGTGTTATGAAAAAGTAAGCATCTCCTGTAGACTAACATTGTGGTTTTAAAGCCCATGATAAAGTGTATATTTTATTAAAAATATTTTCTTTTTTTCATGATAAATTAAATCCATTAATCTTCTAATATCAGGCACGTAGCATCGTTTTTGAAAGTGGGGGGGGCAACCTGAGAAAAGTTTTTTTTACTTACCTGAAAAAGTTGACAAGCAAAAAAAAAAACAAAAAAATAACGAAAATTAAAAGTTGCCCAAACTCGAAAATCCTATTTCATGGGGGGGGGGGGGGGGGGGGGGGGGGGGGGGGGGGGGGGGGGGGGAAGTGGCTAACTTTTTCAAAGCCAACTTACTATCACTTCCATTTTTTCCTTACAATCCTTGCTATCACTATACTATGGTTATAAAGTGGGGGGGGGGGGGCAACCATCCTATCAATGAACATTTACTATAGTAAAGGTTATGTTGGGGAAAAAAGTGGGGGGCCAGGCCCCCCTGGCCCCCCCGGATGCTACGTCCCTGAATATTCTGAACATTAAACAATAAAAGACTAATCGAATGTTTTATTATGTAATCAATTGGATAGATTTAATGGCATCCTGAATCTGGCTTAAAAATCCTAGGACATAACGGTTAAAAACTGTGCATTTTACACTGTAAAAATTTATCCGTGGGTACTTTCTGGTACCACCCCAACGCCAGAGAGGAAGATAGCATGTTAATTCTATTTATGAATAACTATTAAAAAGTCAAGTTATGGACAAACAAGGATTGAAACGATACTATCATTGAGTCAAATGCTGACTGAGGTATTTCATACTAATTGTTAGGCCATTATTTACATTATGAAATGTTTCAGAATTTTTCCTTTTTTCCCCATTTCTTGAGGGGACCTGATCCCAGCTCTGATGTTTAACAGTTCCGTGTTTACTCTTCTTCTTGAAAATCTTTGGAGCTTGCATACTGTTTGTTTTCTCCATATTTCAATACTCATACAATGTACATATCGTTTATACTGAAAGAAGCTATCTTAAAACTAATTATTGTTGTATTATAATTATGTATCAAAGAATTTGTTCAATTTTTTTCTACAGAAAACTGTAGTTATTTGCCTGGAGAAGTACATGTATTTTTGTGTACCTAATATGAATCCATAATTTCATAAAACCCAAGAAATATTTTTGCATGATAATGAAAAGTGATCAAAAATGGCACTTTGGGACAACAGCACAGTTGTTTACAGGGCACCACCTACTTATTTTGCGATGAAAATAAGAAGGGGGTACCCTGTATACGAAACAAGTGGTAAAAATAAGTAGGGGATACCCCTTGTACGAAACAAGTACTAAAAATAGGTAGGGGTCGGGTACCCCGTATACGAAACAAGTGCCTGTGAGCTATGGTATTGAATATTGAATCTGTAACATGTACTACTAATTAACCCAATCAATCACAATATATCATCTGTCTGAAGTCACAGCTTTAAAAAATCACATTTGTTATGACTGTTCCAAACTTTGAAAACCTATCTTTCTTTCATATTGCTAAATTATAAACTACATTGTACTTTGTACGTGTATAAATCAAATAGAGGCGTTGTCAGATATTAAAATCGCGCATGTCAGACAGATAAGGACAGTCTATTAAATGGCGACTAACAAACCATTGCATCGACTGGGCTCTCCTCAACAGCATATTCCTATGTGTAACGAACACAATTATTTCCTTGATATCCAATGTGAAGACTGTGATCTATTTATTTGTTCTTCATGTGCCAAAACGGACCATAAAGAACACAACTGGGTCACGAATGCCACGGCAGCCAGTAAAAGAAGAAAAGATATAGTACAATACAGGTATCTAGAGACGATAAAAGAAGTGAATCTGTCTGGAATCGATGAAAAAATTGACGAGGCATTGGCACGTATTAAGGAAAATGAAAATCATTGTGATCTACAGGTACAAAAGCTACGAAAACATTATGATGAAATAATTATGAGACTGATAGAACTCAAGAACTTTCAGGAAAAACAACTGAAAGACAATATGATTCAGAAGAACAAACAAATGAATCTCATGAAATCTGAATTAGAAAAGCATAAAAAAGACATTTTGGAACTTGTGGAATTCTTAGATGAGAATAATAGCACTATGTCTGATTATAGTCTGGTTGACAACCATAGAGAACTAAACAAGAGACTCTCTGACGTCAGAGTCGATATGAAGATCGGTAAAATGTCTGTGAGTTACAACACTGGGAAAATAAGTGAAGAAATATTGAAGTCTTTGATTGGGCAGGTGTTGAATTTAGATGATATTTATAGTGCAACTGAAACAAACTCATTCATGTGCGGAGGAAACGGAATACAAAGGCTTAAAGCTTTCAGTGAAGAAACTTGTTTTATTACAAACTACAAAGAAAGATATCTAGAAGAAGTCGATAGACACGGCGAGAGAAAACTTAAAAGTATTAAACCTAATGATATTTGCTTGACTGGGGCGGGCTCTATATATTTCACTCAGTATGAGACCAAGTCTATCAATCGCCTTTCCCCATCAGGATCTGTTTCTGTAGTGGCTACCACACACCCCTTTTCACCATATGATTTATGCCAAACTGTGGAGGGAAATCTGTTGGTCACTCTTCATGACATGGACGAAGATGGATTAGAACTGGGTGTGGTCAGACACATGACATTAACTGGCCAGGTAATCCGTGACTACGAGTACAACGAAGACTTGTCCAGGTCATTTGCTGAACCAACCACAGTCACACAAAACAGAAAAACAGACATAGGTGTTATCGATTGTAAGGGTGAATTTTCAACTGAACTTGTGATTTTTGATCTCTCTGGTCACGTTAAATTCGTTCATCGTGGAGGCTGTTCGGAAAAGGATTCAGTGCTGTATCCAGCTGACTTCGTGTTTGACTCCCTCTGTAATATCATTGTTTCCGATATAAACAGATGGTGTATCCAACTCCTTAGCCCTGATGGGAAGTTCCTAAAAATTTTATTAACTGCAAAAGAAACAAACTCTTCCCTCAATCTATCGCTATTCGGATCTACATTGTGGGTCGGAAATTCATCAGGTCTTGTCAAAGTATTTCAATATAAAAACGATAATGCCGTTAATTTATGTCATTAAGGTATCCGACTCATATTAGGACATTATTTTCTTACTTTGAAAATTATTCTTGAATAAAATACTCTGACATTGTTTCAAAGGATTTTAGAGTAGAAATTAAAGGGTTACCAAGATAAATAATCAAAATTGTTATTACCCAAGCAATATCGAATTATTGAATTATGGAACGATGTAATTTTTTGAAAATTAAAAAAAATAAATCCGAAGAATATTAATTAATGCTATAGTCGACAGATGCATTTGATCATCAAGAAAAGAAATATACTGATATTTATTCATTATAACGACCTTAGCATATACCAAATGCTGAATTAACAAGGCATTTGTAATTCCTGCAGCATTAACTTATTTGTCTGTCGACTGCCTCGGCTTCAAAATTGAGCCTATTCAGAGCAAGCTTTTGGGTATCGAGTCAATTGGGAGACATGAACACCGTGTGCAGGTGATATCTTGAAATATCACTGCATAAATAAAGTTGACAAGAAAAGCAGAGTCATCGCGTTTGTCAAACAGTTTAGTTGTCCAATGGTCCTTATCGTCTAAAGTCAGTAAATCTTCCGAATATGAAACTGATATGACAAACTCTGTGGTGTCTTTTGATTCAAATCAATGGGACGAATCGATATATTTATGGAAGTAATTATTGCTTATTGATATAACATTGTCAGTATTTCTGAATGTCGAATTGAATTTTCTTCTCTTACATTTCTGAATAAATTCTGCTTCATAGGAATATAAAAACAAGTCCGCCAATAAAGGTGCAGAATTAGTGTCCGTCGAAATTCCAGCGGTTTGAACAGGTTACTCAGGTCAATAGGATGCAAATCTGAGCTGTTTTGATCTTTCTGATTGTCAGTGCATGCCATTAGCTAAGTTGAATAAGGTATCACCGAGAAAAACAAGCTAATTCAGAGAATTTGTATCCCCCGCTAAAGGAAAAAGTAAAACATGCGCAGTTCGGGGGAGGGAGGGGGGGGGGGAGAGTTGGATCCCCCTCACTGAATTTGTAGAATTATTAAATGTATATGTATACATGCATGTATACTGAAGCAAATAAAATATACCATTATGGATATAAAGATTTAATTGCTTATTCTTTATTATGTGTATAGAAGATTCTTTTTATATGGAATATTTATCACACTGTAATGATGATTTTATGAGTTTGTACAAGCCAGACCTCGTAAATTTTTCATTTTGCTTGCTGAATACTATTATTTAGTAAAAAAAAAAAAGCATTTAAAACAAGCTAATTCAGAGAATTCGTGTCCCCCGCTTAGGGAAAAAGTCGGATCCCCCTGACTTAATTTGTAGAGTTATTAAATGTATACATATATACTGAATCAAATAAAATACATGTATGTCAATATGCGTATAAAGATTTGATTGCTTATTCTTTATTATGTGTATAGAAGATTCTTTTGATATGGAATATCTATCACACTGTAATGATTATTTTATAACCTCATAAATTATTCTTTTCACATGCTGAATACTATCATTTTAAAAAACGAAAAGTTTAAAAAAAAAAAGAAAAAAAGATCGCCCCAGACTGGATCCCGGGACCTCTCACATGTGAAGCGAGAGACATACCACTAGACCACGGAATCGCTATAAATGAGGGCAAGTATATGCAGAAGCCAAGTCACATACATGTATATATTCATGTTCGGTATTGTCAAAATTTTACACAATCCATGGTGTTTGATTTATTTAGCCTGTATTTAACAGTTGTAATAGATGTAATAAGAACATAAAGTCCGCCGAGAACCTGTTTTATACGCAATAACTCTCCGCATGCCCCCGTGCTAAAAATAGCGACACGTAATACTATAAATACTAATAAAACAAACGGGGCGGGGCACTTTGAGAGGGGTGAGAGAGGTCCTAGGGAGTTTTAGTATAAAATTACATTGCATAAGCTCAAAATCTTCTTTAAACATCGCCCGGAAATGATAGTGTTACACACAGACAGAATGTATAGATTTACGACCTTGAACTTTGACCTTTTGATCTCAAAATCAATAGGGGTCTTCCTTAGGCCACAGGGGGTTGTTATGTAAAATTTCATTGCAATAGCTCAAATGGTTCTAGAGATATCGTGTGGAAACGAAAGTGTTATAACAGACAGAATTTGCTTATTTATGACTTTGACCTTTGACCTTTTGACCTCAAAATCAATAGGGGTCTTCCTTAGGCCACAGGGAGTTGCTATGCTAAATTTCATTGCAAAAGCTCGAAGGGTTAATAATAATAATAATAATAATAATAATAATACTTTATTTATAGAAGGTAATCCGATTAGTGCGAGCACTAGTCTTCCTCGGGGCCTTCTTAAAAACACATATACAATGTTTTATACAATAATAAAGACAATAATCACAAACATGGAACAATAAGATATAAACACACATTATGTTACACTAGAATAAATTAAACACTTTCGTTTCATTATAAGTTCAGAGGAATGAATTTTTTTTTTTTTTTTTTCATGAAGAACGTTTCATAAGTAACAAGCTAATTCAGAGAATTCGTTCCCCCGCTTAGGGAAAAAGTCGGATCCCCCTGACTGAATTTGTAGAATTATTAAACGTATACAGGTATATTGAAGCAAATAAAATATATGTATTTCAGTATGCGTATAAAGATTTGATTGCTTATTCTTTATTATCATTTAAAAAAAAAGAAAATTTAAAAAAAAGGACCCATCCGAGAATCTATCCCTCTCACATGTGAAGCGGGAGACATACCTCTAGACCACGGAATCGCTTTAAATGTAGATAAGTATATGCAGAAGTGAAGTCACATACATGTATATATTCATGTTCGGTATTGTCAAAATTTTACACAATCCATGGTGTTTGATTTACTTAGCCTTTATTAAACAGTTCTAATAGATGTAATAAGAACATAAAGTCCGCAGAACCTGTGTTATACGCAATAACTCTCCGCATGCCCCTGTGCTAAAAATAGCGACAGGTAATACGATAAATACTAGTAAAACAAACGGGGCGGGGCACTTTGAGAGGGGTGAGAGAGGTCCTAGGGAGTTTTGGAATAAAATTACATTACATAAGCTCGAAATCTTCTTGAAATATCGCCCGGAAATGATAGTGTTACACACAGACAGAATGTATAAATTTACGACCTTGAACTTTGACCTTTTGACCTCAAAATCAGTAGGGGTCTTCCTTAGGCCACAGGGAGTTGTTATGTTAAATTTCATTGCAATATCTCAAATGGTTCTAGAGATATCGTGTGGAAACGAAAGTGTTATAACAGACAGAATTTGCTTATTTATGACCTTGAACTTTGACCTTTTGACCTCAAAATCAATAGGGGACTTCCTTAGTCCACAGGGAGTTGCTATGCTAAATTTCATTGCAAAAGCTCAAAGGGTTCTCGAGATATCGTGTGGAAACGAAAGCGTTACAGACAGACAGAAAGACGGACGGACGGACGGACGGACAGACGGACGGACAAACCCAAATTAATATCCCCCACTTTTCAAGCGGGGGACAAAAAATGTTCTACCCTACTTTTAAATATTGAAAGGGATTGGGAATTCCTTATACTAATAGGCAACTCATTCCATATAATAACCCCTGAATATTGCAAAGAATTTTTAAATAAATTAGTTTTAAATTTTGGTAAACGAAGTTCTGAATTTGTCTGTGAGCGTAGCGTGTATGATCCACAACTTTGAAATTCAAAAAAATCATGCATATAATCAGGAGACATACCATAGAATGTTTTGAACATCAGAATGCTTTTCTGTAAATATAGAAGTTCATGAACTGTTAACCAGCCTAATATGTTAAACAAGGGCATTGAAGGTGCATCGTATTTTTCATTTAAAATAATCCTAGCTGCTCGTTTTTGAAGTTTGTATATTCTATCGATGTGAGTTTGAGGAGAGTTACCCCAAATAGATAGACAATATAAAATTGATGGTAAAATAAATGCGTTATAAAATAGCTTTCTAGTATGCAATGGAAGGAACTTCTTAATTTTTCGTAGAGTAAATAATTTATATGCAAGAGTTTTGCAAACTGCATCTACATGACTAGTAAATTGAAGATTATGATCAATGTGAACACCTAATAATTTCTCTGTTGTAACATTTTCAAGGGGTTGGCCAGAAAGTTGTAAATGAAGATTAGCGTTTTCTAATTTTGATTTCTTTTGATGTGTTCCCATTAACATACTCTTAGTTTTGTCCGTATTCAAAATCATCTGATTTTGTTGACACCAGTTTTGTATTTGAAAAAGGTCTTGATTCAGAGCTGCTTCAATATATGAAATATTGTTACCATGAAAATGCATTGTAGTGTCATCAGCAAACATATCAATATTACAATGTTCAACAGATAATGGTAAATCATTAATATATAACAGGAATAACAAAGGACCTAAAATAGATCCCTGTGGCACACCTGCTGTGACAGGCAGTGATTCAGATGTGTACGCACCAATTTTAACACTCTGCGTTCGATCATTTAAATATGATTCAAACCATTGAATCGATATAGGATCAAAGTTGTAGCATTTAAGTTTAGTAATAAGTATATCATGATTTACGAGATCAAATGCTTTGCTAAAATCCAAATAAGTAATGCCAACGAAATTTCCTTCATCTATTGCATGTAGCCAATTATCAGTTAGTTTTGTGAGAGCTGTCTGGCAAGAGTGAAATTCTCTAAATCCAGATTGTGCTTTCATTAATAAATCATAGTGAGAAGTAAAGATTCGTATATTTTCTGCTACATGCTTCTCTAAGACTTTCGAAATAGTTGGTAAGATTGAGATTGGTCTATAATTTCCTGGGTCTGATTTATCACCCTTTTTAAATAGAGGAGTTACTTTTGCTATTTTTAACTGTGAAGGAAAGGACCCCTTGATTATGCTGGAATTTATTAAGTGTGTTAGAGATTTGGATATTACACTAGCTGAAATTTTAAGTAATCTCGGTCCAAGAAAGTCTATGCCAGCAGATTTGT